ATATAGGACTTACGATAATACGAACAAGACCTAAAATAACACTTCATTTACTGATTTCAAAACTTTTAGTTGAATTTGATGATTTTTTTGTAGATAAAGTTTAAAATTAGTTTAAACTTTTGTATAACAATTTGAATCCTGGCAGACGATATATTTAATAGATATACAAATCAGCGCCATCATTTTACCTTAACTAACTAATAAATTAAATAATATAAATAACTATATTTCAGAACTCCCGATACCATCCACACCATCTGGATGATTGGCGGTCCACTACTGTGCGATTTAGAAGATGTTTTCTTCCTCGTACAACTTCCTTGTGGAATAGTTTACCACCAGCGATTTTTCCGGACCGATACGACTTAGGGACCTTCAAGAAAAGAGCCTACTCCTTTTTAAAAGGCCGGCAACGCATCTGCAATTCCCCTGGTGTTGCGGTTGTTCATGGGCGGCGGTAGTCACTTACCATCAGGTGAGCCGCATGCTCGTTTGTCCCCTCTCCTATAAAAAAAAATAAAATTATTCAAAATCCTAACGTTTAATTTAATCGTTATTTTATTTTTAAAGTGAAATAATTAAAATTTAAAAAATAATAGATAATAGTGACATCTATCAAATGTATGAAAATTGATATTAATTGAACTAAAAAGATATCAAATTTCATACCTTTGATACTATACCTGTGTGTAAACTTATTAAAACTGTTCTGTCTGCATTTATTGCAAAAATTCTCATTAAATCATTATTTCGTGAAATGGTGTTATTTCATGATATTTATTTATCACTGTTTGTTGACCATGTCATGCTATAGCTTAGCCAAATCAATGAATAGAGATCGTTTAACGATATTAATGACTAAACACAACATTGCTATTTCATGATAATATGGTCTCATCGTGAAATAGTTTCTCACCGCTTATGTTTCTTATGTTTCTGTTTAAATATGTTACTAGCAGCTAGATAGCGTGCTTTTTATCAGAAATAGATTTTTTACATAATCAATATCACTGTATGCCTTTTTATATAATAAATAAATGTTCGCGGCTTTGGGGGTGGCTCTTGAGCCAGTCGCACCCCAACCTTCTATAGCTGATATTACTAGATAGTATAGTTTTCACTTTCTTAGTTTTAATGTAATATCGTTTCTCCCGAACTTTTTCCAAGACAGATGGAAAACAATTGTTAGTGTACCTTTCTGCAGTTACCGTTTTTCGATCTTCTAAAACAATTGTTGCATGATGACTTTTCCCCACCACCATCGACCTTTCTTCACTTTAGTTGGCAACTCCTCGAAAGGAAACACCCAGACAGCAGACTGACGCTTAGTTTCAGGATCATAACAATAAATCCAGCTTTTGTCACCCGTAAGTATATCGAACACAGCATTTGAGTCACCTCCGTTAAATCTTTCAACCATTTCACGACACCAATCAACACGACGGAGTTTTTGGGCCTCTGTCAAATTATTGGTATACACCGGACACAAAGCTTCTTGAACGCTAAATGTTCATTGAGGATTTCAAGAGTGACTTATCTGCTGATAAGTCACTCTTTTGTCAGTCTCTATCATACGCTGCACAACACTGATGATGAAGATGAAGATAACCTTCAGTCGTCGTCGTAGAAGGCCGGCCCTCACGCAGATCATCGGTAAGATTTGTGCGACCACGTTTAAACTCATTAAACCAGTTGCAAACAGTGAAAGAGATGGGGTTTCATCATAAAAGGCCAATCAAAGTCTATCATAACTTTCTTGTTGACTTGAATGACATCTAAATTCATAAAAATCATTGTACGAAAACTTTCTCGCGTTTAATTTATGCTGACTTGACACAGAAAATTTTCAATTTGCTGCCAAGTCGTAAACAATTAACAAATTAATAAAATACGTACGAAATAATATTGGTAGACTTCCATTTCCATAATTTAAACTTATTTTTTTATTGTGTCGTTTACAAGTGGTCAGTTCTAAAAACTTTCAGTGTCGCCCCCGTAACAGCAAGGGAGCAAAACATGTACGAGTCCTTTGACGACAAATGCATCTGTTATGGAAAATTTTACGTGCTGTTTTACGTTAGCACGTATCCGGTGAAATGGTGAAGAATAACTTCATGGGCAAACCTAAATATCTGAGTAGTTACAAAAGTCGTGGAAATGTGAAAACCGTTAATACTCTTTTCTTCCAGAAAACACTATAGGTAATGATTTCCTCCACCTTCTCATCGGGATGTAGCGAGGTTGGTGCGTAAATCTGTATGACCTTCAGCGAATTCCGTTCGGTGATTCTGAGTGTAAGGTACGCAACCCTCGTCGACACACTCCCAATCTTTACAACGTTGTTAACGAGAGACTTGTGGACGATAAATCCGATACCTCTTTGGGACAGATGGTCACGCTCCCGGTGATAGAACAAGTTATCGAATTCGAGGATTGCCATGTACTCCCTCTCTCTTCGGACCTCGAATAAGCCTATGATATTCCAGCGCCACTTGTCGATCTCTTCTTCCAGCTCCAGGATCTTTTCGTCAGGCCTCAGGGTGCGTGCGTTATAAGTTGCCTGGTCAAGTCGTCGTTGGTGGCAATCGAACCTCCACCGGAGATTATTAGCACCCCACTAGAGCCAATATCGCATCTATGTAATCATAGTTTCTCATCAGGAGTTTTCCCTGAGATATTTAAGAAAGCCACTGTGTCGCCTATATATAAGGCAGGCGATAAAACCCTTGCTTGTAACTAGCAACCTAAAGCTTTGTTATGTGTAATGTCCAAAATTATAGAAAAGATTGTTAACAAGAGGCTTATTGGTTATCTAGAATCCAATCAGTTACTATATTCCAATCAATTTGGCTTTAGAACCGGTGAGTCGACGGAAGACTGTATACTAAAAGTGACCTCACAATTAAATAAGTATGTTGATGAGGGTGATACATTTGTAGGTATTCTTATTGACTTACAAAAAGTTTTAATACAGTGTTAGCAACGATTCTTTTGCGGAGGTTGGAGAACTTGTGTATAAGAGGGGCTTCACTGCAATGCTTTCAAGTTTATTTTGTCAGAAAACAGTGCGTAAGCGTTTTGAGAGGATTGACATTCCAATAATGACATGCGATGCACATACGGTGTCCCACAGGGCAGAGCTCTTGGGTCGACATTATTTTTAACATACGTAAATGACATGAGTAAAATTGAATTAAATGCCCCCAAAATAACTATGTATGCTGAAGACAAAGTAATAATATTTCATGCAAGGAGCTAGGAGCGTGTGAAGTAAGTTGCTGAGGCGGGACTGGCCAAAATTTCTTGTTGGCTCAGAAATAATCTACTTTCACTAAATACAACGAAAACAAAATTAATCTATTTCAGTAAAACTCTAGCGGGTCAACCAAATGACAAATTTAAAAATAAATTAATCAAATATAAATTTAAGGATTCATACAATTCCATGTAACAAACTTGATGTTGTTCCAATATCTTGTAACTGCCCTTACATAACTAAAACTATAACAATAAAATATTTAGGAATCATATTTGATGAAAAGTTTTTTTTGTAGAATTTGGTGACAAACGAACACACAGTCCACCTGATGATAAGTGGTTGCTGCTATAGACGTCTACATCTACCCTCGTTTACGAATCAAAATGCAGATGCGTTGTCACCCATGAGGACTAAGATGGAATGCCTCGTTTCCAGTAAAAAGGGTCTCCGGTTCTCTACACTCACCATACGAAACAAAGCAATATTAAGCTGCTATTTTACGCTGGTATTCTGTGAGAGCGTGGTTTTTCCCCGGTCGAGCAGACCCATTCGTGCTACAACTATACTACTAATATAGCTGCAGCATGGCTCTACCTTATGGATACCTGCTTCAGTACAAACATCAAATAATACCACTTAGTAAAAAGATAAGAAAGCTTGTCTAAGTTTTTAAGTTACTAAGGCTTGCAGCAAAGTCCAAAGTTATTGTTGCAAATTTACAGGGCTTTCTGTGAATCTTTAATAAATTATGATATCTGTTCATTGCTTGTAAAACAATTCTTGTCGAAGCTGAACGTTCCCAACGGCGTATTTTAAAAGTAATGCTATTACTTCCATTTCGATATCTAACTACACTAGTGTATGAAAAAGCCCGAGTACTAAGCTTAAGAAAACTTTTTATCTATCAATGCATACGAAGGTACCGTCGTGTAACTGCAAATCAAATATCCGACCCCTAGAACAAGAAGTATTTTTGAGAAAAGACACTATAGTTACGTTGCTCCGCATTTGTACAATAAGTTATACACGGACTTTAAATTAAACTTAAATAATTACAGTAACCAACATATAAAGACAAGGACAGAAGTACTTATGCCGTAGGTTTACCACACGCAATACTAACACACATATATTCCAATACACACCCCCACACACACACACACACACACACACACACACACACACACACAAAACAAGCGCTTAAAATAACATTTTATTAATTTCTTATTTATTTTTCTGTACCTGTTTAACTAAGTAAATAACTAGATTATTATGTAGAAATTTATCTTTTGACAAGGCTAACTTTAAGGAGAGGAACTGGTTCCTGAAACAGTTACACTAGTTCAGAGGTCAGGGAATCAATGATCTTATGTAAAAAGGTCGTTATTATCAAATATATAAATAAAAATGAAATTAAAAAAATATTAATATTGATTGAAATGAAACTTCTTAGGATGCTATTAAAAATATAAAAGCGTCACGTTTTCTTGTAATCTGTGCTATGTAAATCTTTTGCCTGAAAATCTTTTTGCTGAAAACAAGGCATTTCACCTTAATCCTCAGGGGTGTAAACGCATCTACATTTAATTAAGTCAACGCAATTGCATCTATTCGCAAATTATTTATATTGCACACTATTTGATGATTCGTCATCGTCTATGCGCGCTCGTCTCATAAACATCCGTTCTGTGTGTTGCGAAATATACCCACTACGAACAATTATTTTCTAACAACCGTCGTTATGGCACCAATTCCAAAGTGTTATACGTGCAACAAAATAATTACGAAAAAGGCGCCATGTCTTGAGTGTAGTGTATGTAAAAAAGTGGTTCATGCTACTACACCTTGTGCAACTCTAACTACGAAACAGATAATCGCGCTACGAGCTCAAGTCAGCTTAGACTGGACATGTAACGACTGCCTGAAAAATCGTCCAAGACACAGGTCTTTTATAGTACCAGAGGAGGATTCTGAGGAGGAGGAAGGAGTACCAGCCAGCTATTCACAACCCGTAGCTGATACCCCAGGATCCCAAACTACCTTGCATAATATTGATATTAAAAAACTACTGAAGGATATCTCTAAAGAGGTTGAAAAAACAGTTGCAAAGGCGCTAGAGCCTTTGACTGACAAAATGGATGAAATATGCGAGAATATCGAAGTATTTCAACAAAGAATAATTGAACTAGAAAGGAAAAACGCCTCACTTATTAAAGCTAACAAAAATATGGTAACAAGACTGTGTGCAGTTGAACAGCGAGTCCATGAACTTGAGCAAGGTCAGTTTAAAAATCATGTGGAGATTTCTGGATTACCGACCCTAGAAAATGAAGATCCTATTCAAGTTGTGAGAAATCTAGCAAAAAAGTTAAACGTAGAAGACCCAGGAGTGATAACTGCCAAACGTGTAGGTAACTACGGAGAAAAAAACAGGACATATTCTAGTGAAGCTCAAGAAGGAAAAGCGTTGCTGTTGGCTGCAAAAAGCGCGAACTGTGAAACCAGTACTCGGAGATCTGATACCCAAGACTGACGAAAATGAAAGCGGAAGAAAAATATTTGTACGCGAGGCATTAACACCCTATAATAAGTCATTGTTGTGGAAAGCAAAACAACAGTTATCAGGTACCTTTAAATATGTATGGTTCAAAGATCGAAAAATAAGAGCGCGCAAAGAAGATAAAAGCAAGGTCTTCATTCTGAGGAAGGAAGCGGATATTGGGACTCTGCTTTGCTAAAGTCAACGATACTCTCCTAACGGGTTTGCCTACTGATATAGATATAAGTAACATTAAGGAAATTAGGGACTGTTTAAACATCGAAAATTATTTAAAAATTACTTGCTTTCATATTAACATTAGATAACTGATTAAAAACTACTCATGTCTTTTACAGTGTATTGAATCCTACAAGAATCTAATCGATATTATTATTATCACAGGAGCTAGTATATCAGATAAACTGAGTTTATTATATAATATTGACGACTATACAATGCACACAGAGTTGAGAAGTCATAAAAAAGGAGGTGGTATCATAATTTATGTGAATAATAAACACAACTTTCATATCACTAAAACCGCTCCATTGGGTTTTGAATGTAATAAATGTACAGTTAACAGTGGTAGAGCTACGCGGCAGCTTTTGCTGTCGCACGGATGGGCCGGCTTGAGCCGGGGTAGTACCACGACCTCACAGAAAACCAGCGTGAAGTAGAGGTTTACCTCTGCGTTTCGCTTGGTGAGTGCAGGTGGCCGGAGGCCCTTTTTACTGGAAATGAGGCATTCCATCTTAGTCCTCACGGGTGACAATGCATCAACATTTTGATTTGTAACAGAGGATAGATGTAGATGTCTATGGGCCGCAGCAACCACTTACCATCAAGTGGACTCTGTGCTCGTTTGTCACCCTTATCCTATAAAAAAAAACTACACTCTGTGTGCATTGTACCGACCGCAAGACAAAAGTAAAACGCTATTTCTTTCCGAGCTGAAACACTTATTATATAAATACTCGCACTGTGATAATTTTCTGATTATAGGTAACACTCCCAAAAAGAATATGCTAACTACAGACCGATATCAAAACTTCCGATTATCGACAAAATAACAGAAAAATATTTATGTGAACAAATACAAACATTTTACACTGCAAACTCTATTCTATTTAACAATCTATTCGGATTTCAACCTGGTAAAAGCACTACACAGCTACTATCAAAATTTACAAATGATGTTAATACTTACCTATATGAGAAAAGACACGTATTAGTCGCCTTTATTGACTACAGTAAGGCTTTCGATACTTTACGACATGAAACTCTAATTAAAAAGCTTCAAGACACAGGTATCAGAGGACCTTTATTAGACTGGAGTAAAAACTACCTCTGTAACCAACAATATGTTGTTAGGGTGGATAATACACTTAGTGATAAAATAAACATTACAGAAGGAACAGCACAGGGATCAGTACTGGGTCCCTAACATTACCTTGCTTATGTAAATGACCTTAACTACCTTATAACAAAGTGTAATCTATATCAATTTGCGGACGATACTTGTCTCGTATCAGCAGATCGTGACATCGCCGCCGCTCAAAAAACACTTCAAGACGATATAACGCTCTTAAATCAATGGTCTCATGACATGGGACTAGTTATTAACGCAGAAAAAACTAAAGTCATGCATATTAGGTCGAGTCATAACACAGTATATAGTCCAATATCAATAACTGTGCATACACATGAATGTATGCATGGCCTTATTCAAAAATGCATATGTACACCTATAGAACAAGTTACAAATCAAAAATACCTAGGCTTAATCAAATACAACAGATTTAACTGGGGTCCTCATATTGATATGATTTGTAATAAGCTAAGGTCATTGCTTGCAATATTCTATATTATCAAGAATAAAATACCATATTCAGTACTACTATCAATGTACCATGCGCTAGTAGATTCGATAATATCATATGGAATAACAAGTTATGGTCGTACATTCAAAACATACATAAGAAGGATCTTTAATTTACAACTAAAATTCTTAAAGCTCATTGTAGATGACAAGGTAAAACAAAAATATAAAGAAAATAACTATATTGGTCTTTTTAAATACTGTAACGTCATACCTATAAATAAAAAAACTTGAATGTTATATCATGATTGAAGATTTTAATACGATTCCTTCATTAAAAATGGTAAAATATTCTGATAGAACGCGACAAAGTAATAAAAAAAATCTGTAGCAAAAATAAAATAAAATAACTTTTATGGAGACAGGAGAACTGGTAATATATTAGCTTCTATTCTAAACGATCTTCCAGGAAACCTTAAGGACGAATTGACTGAAAAAAACTTAAAATATAAAATTAAGCATTATGTACTAGAAAACCTGAACTGTTATATATATATATATATATATATATATATATATATATATATATATATATATATATATATATATATATATATATATATATATAATATATATTTATTTATTTATATATATATATATATATACAATATATGTTTGTGTGTGTATGTGTGTGTATATATATAGGTATATATGAAATTATTTTATTAATTAATCATTAAAAAAAAATGCTATAGAAATCAGCCTGTATATGTATAGTTTACCGTATACGCTCATCGCGGTAACCTGTTTGTCGTCATGTCACTAATACAATGAATAGGTTGTTAGTTGTTATCATGCTTACCTTTATCAATTATACGGTGGTAGTTATTAAAAATAATATATTTATGCGTATAGACGTCTGCAAACACCAATAAAAACCGTTTTGCGGTTTAATGGTGCTGTATAGTAACTATACACTATTGTAATATGTTTTATGTATCATTAAAAATAAAAAAAAATAATAAAACTACGCTAGCATAACATTCTATTATACAAAATGAGTCCTCCAATAATGACAAAGGAGGAAAATTTGTAGTTTGTCCCAGAAAGTATCTAAAAATACGATTTTCACATAGATTTTTTACTTCTCGGGGCTTTGGTTAGTTATCTTTATAAAAAATTAAAATAAATGTTATAAATTTACTCACTACCAAAATATGCATGTAAAAACAAGAATTGCATGATTGGTTACTAAATATCGATTATGATAAGGCTACTGAGAATCAACTGACAGTGTTATCCTAAAACACATAACCAAACACAAATGCACACTCACATTTTATCATTATTATTTATTATTCTTAATTTTAGATAGAATTGAATTTCTATGGGCCACTGCAACCATTTACAATCAGATAGAATGTGTGCTCGTATTTTACCTTTATTCTATAAAACAAAACCCATGCTCAATCCCCGCCGGCATGTTAGACAGCGACGAAGCGATACATCTTAAGGAAACTTGTATGTTTGGATAGCAATTATATTTCGAAAACATATGAAATACACCAACGCATACAGAAGTAGGGGAGATAAAGAAATCATCCGAGCAAACCTGCTATTATATATGGATGATATATTATATATCCAAGATACAAAAACATTCCAATATATTTCGAGAACCTGAAGTTCACTAACACGCAATGGGGCAGTGCTGCGAAAGGAATACGTACGTGCGTGAATTCTTTCAGAAATGAAAAAAGGTCTGCGCCCAACAGTTGAACGTATAGCTTAGAAGGAAGGTTAGAAGGTTATAAAGAGACAGTATATTAGAAACAAAGTAAAGTTTTAAGGCATTCCATTTTAGTCCTCAGAGGTGACCACGCACGTAGCCAAGTATAATCAGGTGCTCGTATTTTATATTATTTTAACTGAACATGTCTGAACGCTACGCATTCCTGACTCGGTGGACTCAGCTACGAGTAAAAATTGTTCTTTTTTTCTTTGAAATTTCACTATTTACCTTATTTACTCTCAGAGCTGTATTCTCCTTAGTTTTTTTGGTCATTACTAAAAAATGGTTGTAGTTTCTGCATAAATCATGCTAAGATTTGACTCTTGACCTTTTTTGGCACGTATTTGACGTACAAAGCTAAATTTATTAATTTTCGTTTTTTTTTTGTTATAAATTAGTCTATTGTTGTTTGTTAATTGCTCTGTATCAATATAAATGTTTCTTTCTTTCTTTCTAGGTAATCTGTAAGTTCGTTGGCTCTTTAGATTTATAAAAAACTATTTAATTTAAATATTATGATAAGACTGACTCTCAGTATATTTAAGCTGTCATTCATTTCGTCTTAGTTCAGAAGGTTGATCATTAATGTACCCGTGATTTCCTTTCATTAAATATTGTAGTATATGTTCATGAACTGCAGGCGCCACTTACAAATCTTCAATCCCTGCGGAAAGTGCAATTTTCTGACGGGCCATGGCCCATTGTCTCAAGTCATGTGTCCACTGTTTTTGCTAAATTATTATCAAACATCGCTAATATTTGATCACGTACAAATGGATGATGACGCCTTTTTTCGCCTGATGTATATTTAATTTGTCATTAACTATCATTCTTTCTCACGGCTTGAAAAGTACGTCTAACCTACATGACGTTGATTTAAGCCTCTCTAGACGTATAAATTTGTACCAAAACGTTTAATTTCACTGAAGTCTTACACTGGAATGAAAGACTGGCGTGAGTGAAATATCTTCGCGTTTGGAATCTTCTTTCATTTTCATGATTACAAAATCTTTTTTAAATATTAATTTTGATTTTACATATTAATAAGATATTCGAACTAATAACGTTCGGCAAACTTGTAAGGTTTGAAATTTGAATCAATATGGATTCCCTTCTCAGACATGCTGGCATTTCATTCAAGAAACAACATAATATAGATGATACTACAGTGTAAGGTAATGAAATATGCGCTACCTATAATATTATTACTCCTATATTCTTCGTTAATAATATATATAATGCAAACGTAAAATTATGATACAAATACTTTATAAAAGTGCAATTTATGAAGGAACTGAATCCGCGACTTATCGTCGTCGCTCGTGACACATAGGATGGTTCTTTTTCTAGACGGACAACAACGAGTTCAGCTTTGAAGCCTCG